GTACTTACATTATCCCAACAGTTTCCACCAACTTTCAAATACGGAGAAATTTATAGTTTAATTCGAAGACACGGGACGTTTCTTTATTTCCGTTTCGTCACCCGTCTATGGCGTCATGTAACCTTTGACTCCTCTATTTTCTCTAACTTCCTGTGGAACCCGGCGAAACCGCCAAACACAAAGGGGAACACTGGACTACCGCCAATAAAGCAAAGAAAATTACGAAGAAATAAAAGTAGTACGTATTTTTATGTGTGTAAATCACGTGCCCGCTCACGAGCGCTCACTCTTAACAGACACACTGTCCCCGGTGCTGCTCGCGCATAAAGCGCTCCCCGTTCACAGTAACCGTGTCGTCTCATTCAAAACAGCCAACTGTTGCTGTTAGCGAGCCGCGCACATTGAATACTCATGAGTCAGGCTGCGAATGTAAGTTACTTGCCCGCTTACTAAATAAACGCCTCACCTCCGGCGCCGCGCACTCACTACGTTCCCTTTAGCCTTTAGCACATAGTGGATGCATAACGCAAACCCAGTCAAACGTTTGAATGCAGTATCTTATGTCCTTTATAATCCGGTGCACCCTATATATGAAAAATAGGTCATTCATTGAAGGAGCGTAATATAAATATTTATATTCGTCTGTATTATAGTTATGGACCACGATTACGCTTTGCCTGCACGTTCTGCTGCTACAGCCAGCTCAGTAAAGCTCAAACGTACGGGTGAAAAATATGACCCGAGAAGGGTTTGGGACAGGAGAAGCATGACACAGGTAAACATTTAAAGCTTCTTGACAAGCTAAATCTACAGAGAGATGCCGTATATCCGTATATTTTGTGAAACGATGATGTCATGTCATGAGCTGAGCCCACGCTCTTTCCCGACGTCATCAAAGTACGTCTTTTGTTATTATTTTAAATGAGTGACCCCTGGTGGCCAAACATTACATACTGTACGTTTAAAGGGTTAGTTCACCCAAAAATGAAAATTAAGTCATTAATTACTCACCCCCATGCTAAGACCTTCGTTCATCTTTGGAACACAAATAAAGATATTTTTGATTGAATCTGAGAGCTAGATCAGTCCTACATAGACTGCCTAAGGGACTGGCTCTTGACGGCCCATAAAGTCATTAAAGAAAATGTTTAAATATTCCATGTGCCTACAGCGGCTCAATTATAAGTTTATCAAGCGACGAGAATACTTTTTGTGCGAAAAAAACATAAATAACGACTTAATTCGACTATTTTATTACTTCCTTATGGGCGCATGCGCGAGAACTGAGACGAGGACGTTCTTCTCCTTCTACTACTTTTTGTTACCGGCTGCTCACCGCTTAGGAGTTTTACCGCCACCTACCGTATAAGATGATGATCCATACATAAGGCGCTCCGGATTATAAGGAACACTGTCGTTTTTTGAGAAGATTAAAGGCTTTTAAGTGCACCTTATAGTGCGGAAAATACGCTAATTGAAAAGCGTATGTACAGCGCGCATCTTCCTCTGCTTGTAAACAGAACGTTTTGCGCTTCCAGCTGTATCAGCACGTCATCTTATACGGTAGGTGGCGGTAAAACTCCTACAGCCGGTAACAAAAAGTAGTAGAAGGAGGAGAACGTCCTCGTCTCAGTTCTCGCGCATGCGCCCATAAGGAAGTAATAGAATAGTCGAATAAAGTCGTTATTTATGTTTTTTTCGCACAAAAAGTAGTCTCGTCGCTTGATAAACTAATAATTGAGCCGCTGTAGGCACATGGAATATTTAAACATTTTCTTTAATGACTTTATGGGCCGTCAAGAGCCAGTCCCTTAGGCAGTCTATGGAAGAGTGATCCAGCTCTCAGATTCAATCAAAAATATCTTTATTTGTGTTCCGAAGATGAACGAAGGTCTTACGGGGTTGGAACAGCATGGGGGTGAGTAATTAATGACTTAATTTTCATTTTTGGGTGAACTAACCCTTTAATTACACCACTCACATGGCTGTGCACTCGTAATGACAAATCAAGGATGTTAAGAGGCTAAAAGCAGGTTTAGAACATACCTCTTTTTTTGACTCAATTCTACAATGTTAAGTGGGTGAAAAAAAAATCTTGATCTTAATCTTGAAAACTTAATCTTGTGTTTGGGTCAAAAATGGGCACCCATAGAAATGAGTCGGAAAAACTGTAATTTAGAGCATTCTAAAATAAGCCAAAATAAGACACCAGGTGACCGCAAAGTCACTTCATCTTTAGGTTTTAGCTCTAAGAACTTATTGGAATGATATTTTAATGTAGTTTAAAAAAATAAAAATAAAACTACATAGTAATTAATTTACATAGAAATATGGTACTTTTTGAAGTAGATAAAAAAAAACAAAAAAAAAACACCGTAAATGGATAGACACAACTTTATTGAAGACAGTGATGTAACATTTATAATAAACAAAAATTAGGATCACACCGGAGTCCTCTGTGCCCACATTTGTCCACAATTACAGGATTAAGGGCTATAAAGTGATACGGTTTGAGGGCTATGTAAAAGCACATTAAAAACACCATATAGACATATAAACAACATTTAAAAGCTGGATTTTCACCACAGGGGAACTTTAAAGCAGTAGTTTGAGAACCTCTGAGTTAAAACGATCCGCTGTGATGTCATTTAGTATATAATCAGGAGAAAACGAAGTTGGTTTGGTGTTTGTTTGGGGAGTTTGAAACAGTTCTGGCTGGTAGACACCTTTGAGCTATGATTGATCTGTGGCGATGACGTGTGTGGGTGTGGCTCTGGAGCTCCGCCTTCTTTGACGTGGAAATCTTCTCTGGTTTATTTCTTCTCTTTAGTCCTTCGAGGTCAGACATCACAACGTGTGAATGTACAGAAACACATAAGCTACATGTTTGACCCTGTGTGTGTGTGTGTTTTAGGACCAGCTGAAGATGCTGTCTCAGTACCAGGGTCTGGTGGTCAAGCAGCTGGTGGTTCAGGGTCACGGCCTGGAGAAGAACAGCAGTCTGGGAGAGGAAGACAATGCTGGTGTTCCTGATGATGTGGAGAGCCTGCAGAAAGAGCTTCACAGTCTCACCAGAGACGTCAAAGACATCATCCTTGCTCAGGGAAAACCCTCTGTCACAGAGTAACCCATCTGTTAGTGTGTCCTGCTACATGATCTAGAGCTCGCTTTTAAACGTGTAAAATAAACCGACTGAGTTAACATTTCACATTTCCTTTGGAGAGGGTGGACATCTGTATTGTTCTGACAATGACAGTGCTTTACCTGTAAAAAAAAAAAAAGTGCTTAGCCCTCAAAGCCCTGAGATTGGGCTTGATAATTATGAGACTGAGAATGATAATTATCATGAAGTATTACCAAAATGATTTAGCATACATTTGAAATGTTGCTTGTCTATGACTCATTAAATAAAGTGAATTTAAACATTTTACCAATGTGCCTGTAAAATCATACATGACTGCTGAGATGGACGATTATAAAGGATTTACAGGACAACAGAAAACATGTAAACTGTTTCTGCACTGTGTATGTGTTTGTGGGGGGAAATATAAAAGTCTGAGGTCAAGAGGTCCATGACTCGTTCAATCAAGTGTTTTGATCATCTTAGGTTTTCTTTTTCTCACAAATAAATGGCTAGATCAATTCAAACCTTTAAAAAAGGCTATATTTTGTATCCTATTCAAATGACTAAACAAGCTCTCTAAAATAATATTAATCTAAAATGCCATTTGACTGTTAAGCCTGTTAAGTCGGCTAAAAATAGTCTTCGTCGGCTTTGTTTCGCACGATTCGACATGTTGAATCGGCGTCGGGCCGTTGGGGAAAGAGAGAACTCCAGTGTTGTAGTCGAGACCACCTCACTCGAGTCCGAGTCGACACCGAGTCCATAGAGAGTCGAGTCAGAGACCAGAGACCAGTGAGGGTTGATTACCTAATTTACTTTTATTTACTTAGAGAAATCCTTTTTTCTTTTTTTTCTTTTTTACTGAATTTACTTAGAGTTTAAAAAATATGATCAGTTTAGGGTAAAAAGGACACATAGTAAGTGGTGTTAAAAGTAATTTTATTACAATTTGTCATGCGCAGCTGCGCACTAGAAAATCACCAATCACTGGGCGTGTCAATCAATTTAAAGAAATATTTTATTAACATACATTAATAATCATGAAAAATATTTTTAATTGAACTCGAGTGGACTCGGGAATAATTCACACAAAAATAAAACACAGAAAAGAACCAGTAACTGCTCTTACTTCTGCTGCTCAGACATATGAAGTGGTCGAAAGCTGATGACGTAACATGCAGATAGGCACGCCCTCACGTGATACTGATTGGTCGATGAATAAGCTCAAATCTGATTGGCTGAAGAGTACGACTGCTCTGTTTCATGAGTAAAGAAAGCGCCGACAGGAAAGTCTCAAAAATACACACACACACACACACACATAGCCAAGGCGATTCGTACATGAATGGCGATTTGTACATTCAAATTCAAAGGACACTCTCATACATTTTAAACATTCAAAGGTTTTTGTGCACAGTTGTAAATCTACGAATTGTGTTTTGCATTTGTGAAATGCATTCTATGGATATGTAATTTTATTTTGCGCACGTGAATTGCTTTTTGTGAATATATATTTTTTTCATGCACGTGAATTTTTTGTGTGTACGTGAATCAGGTTTTACGCATGTGAAATTGTCTACGCACGTGTGAATCATGTTTCTTGCGTGAATTATTCTTGAGACTAACATCCTGCAAAATATCTGAAAGTGCACCTTATAGACCATTTTGCAAGATGTAAACAACACTGGTCCAGAAGCACTTCCTGTTTGTGTTTCAGTTTTTTTAACACTACAAAAAGCTGGGATAAAATACAACCAACAGAACATATAAAACTGAATCAAAAAGTTAAACAAACATCTTTAAGATGTTTTCTTACATGTGAAATAAAGAAAACAGTTACAAACTGAAACAGTAAGTGTTTCTGGACCAGTGTTGTTTACATCTTGCAAAAGTGAGAGTCGACTCTGAGTCTGTGAAATGAATTGTTTTTGAAACGAGTCAGGCTCTGCATTAGCTGATTTGTAGTGACGTAGATACGAAACAGAATAGCTCATTGGCCGCTCCCAATAACTGCGCGCGCAGACGGAAGTATAAACTTGAAATAGAACACGACACGTTCAAATCCTTCAGCTGAGAATAGCATCATGTCGAGAAGACGCTGTGTTTTACTGTGCAAAGATAGGTCAGCCACTTTGTTTTCATTGCCCAGGGTCGAGCATGTGAAACGTCAGTGGTTAGAGTTCATATTTGCAACGATACCACAAAAGTACAGCCCGAACCTTTTGTTGTGTTCTCGTCATTTTACTGAAGAATCATTCAAAAACTTATATGAATTCAAATGTGGATTCGTAAGCCGGTTGTTCCTGAAGGAGGGCTCAGTACCCAGTGTACATGGATCAGCTTCGTCCTCCTCTGCTCCACAGTCTGTAAGTATTTTTAATAATGATTGCTGTTATGTTTTCTGTTGCATGCGCAATATGTATTTTGTTGTGTGTGTTGCGCAGCTTCTAAGCGGGGTAAAGGTAGTTTTGTTTTCCATATTCGCTAGACATTCGACTTGCATGCATCCTAAACGATTTGGCCAAAAACTATTTAAATCCTATTCTTATTACTTGGATTGTACTTGCCTTGGTGTAGCAGCTAATTACTACTGCAGTGCTTTATCTGTTTCTGCGTTGGGCTAACGCAAATAATGACATGATTGTGTGTTTATAACTCTAGCTGGAGCTAACATAAACATAAATCTACTTATTCTCTCTCTCTCGGAGTTATTATTTTTTACAACAAAGTGTGAGACCACCATTATTATTGTAGCACAATTTGTGACGCAAACACTTTACTTAGGGTAGCCTAACCATATTTTGATGACCAAAAACCAGGACACTCGGCCCAGCAAACAGATACTCAAATGATACTCGAAGTTTACTCAAAGTCAAAAATGCCGTATTAATTTCAATACATTGAAAGTAGGCTATGCCTCTGTATAAATAGAAAATTGCTACATTACATGACGCAAATTCAGATAGGCTTCTCAGAGGTTACTCAACGTTATATTTTGACAGGTTTCAAAAATAATAAATGAAATAATGTCTCTTCTGTATTAAAAAAACACACATGAATAATAAATAACTAAAAGAAATACCTCCAAATTGAACAAAAATAGCTCTTACAAACTTACCAAAAAGAACTAACAACATGTATATCTTTAGTTTTCTTCCTCTTTATCCTGTTTTTCTTCCTCATCCTTCTTGTTAGCCCATCTATATATTGCTGTAGAGCTGATCTTTCCCATCAGTTTTGAAAACCAGGACATTTTCATCACTTTATAAAGAACGGCCAGGACAGGACGTGAAAACAGGACATGTCCTGGGAAAACAGGGCTGTTGGTCACCCTAATTTTACTGTACTCTGTGTTAACCAATAACATTAGAAGTATTTTGACTTTAAACGCCGTCAGTAACATTATTGTGACACTGACACTAGTGGATGCGATCTGTCCACGAGCACACTGAAGTCCTTCTTTTTTGTTATTTTTAATAATAATAAAAAATAAAAACCGGTGTAGTTATTTGTTTTAATTTTATTTTGTATGTTTTGTCAGAATTTGGTTGGCAAATAAATTGTTCTCTTTTTCTTTCAGAGACCATCACATCAGACCATTCAAAATCGATTTATACATTTTGAGGTAGCTTGTCAGACTGACTGTCCACAAACTGTTTCTGTGATGACCCAAACAGATGAATGTCCAAAAAAATCTGTTTTCACACCACTATCTTCTACTACGCTGAAAGACGCACACGTTCGGAGTAAAGGTACACGATTCGTAAATGTGGTAGTTAATTTCGCATTTTATAGGTTGAAAGAAAAATGATGTTCTTTTTTGTAGGCTCACAGACAACGGTTGCTTGTGCGACTGTCGACACAACAGCAACATCAACATTCGATGATATACCGTTTTCATCAACGCCTGGTAAGCCTGGATTCAGATCATCCAGTCTGGCGTTGAAAGAGGAGGGTGAAGACATAGAAATACCGACTGAACCCCACGACTCGACTTATAACCCCGCTGACACAATCATTTCACAGGATTCTGAAATGTCGTAAGTAATACACATCTCTAATTCCATTTTGTCATTAATAGGTTTTATCTGTGAACCTTACAAACAAAAAGTTATTTATTTACTAGGTTTGGGCAAAGGTCCATATACGCAGACTCAAAATACATTGTGTTTGAAACCTGTTTGCGGGAGTTGTTCTCCACGTGTCCAATTTGTAATTCCAAATCTGATATGGAGCTACATCGTATGGGCACTTATGTTGCGTTCAAGCAGCGTTGCCCTAAGTGCATGTACAACCGAAAATGGCAGAGTCAGCCCATAGTCGGAAGTACACCAATGGGCAACCTCCTGTTATCAGCTGCAACATATTTTACTGGGGGATCATTCATCCAACTACAAAAGGTTGGCATGTAATCAGTTATAGAACAATTACATTTAATTATACAAATTGTTCAATTCTAGTTGTGAATAGTATTTATAAATGTCATGATTTTTTTTTTCTTTTTTTCTCAAAAACATAGATTTGCAAGGCTATGCAATTACGAATTTGCCAGTACAACACATTCAGGAGACATTGCAGGATTTATTTGGAGCCAGCAATTGTGCACAAGTGGAAAACTGAGCAGCGAAACATTATACAGAAGTTGCAAGAGCGAGGAAAGATTGCAGTATCTGGAGATATGCGTGCAGATTCCCCTGGTAAGCCGTATGTTCATTATTGTGTTAACTGATTGAACAGTATATCATTACATGTTTAAACATATTTATGTTTCCATTTATTTAGGACATTCTTCCAAGTATGGCAGCTATACGCTTATGGACATGCACAGCAATACTATTGTTGACCTCCAGCTTGTTCAGGTGTATAACCTTATCACAATAGAGTACATGATTGACTGGACAAATTAAAACTATAAAACTAAAATATTACTTTGTTGACGCTTATATAGAGCAATGAGGTTGGTGGTAGCAACCACATGGAGAAGGAAGGCCTAAAGAGATGTCTGGACACGCTGGAGTCAAACCATTTAGAAGTGGATTACATTGTCACCGAACGTCATCCACAGATCCAGAAATATCTCAGGGACCGGAGCATGACTCAGTTCTATGATGTGTGGCACTTTGAGAAAGGTTAGCGTTTGACTTTCTAACCATATAGTTATTTTACTATTGAAGTGGCCATTAAATGTGTTTCTTTCTACTTTCTGTATATCAGGTTTGTCTAAGAAATTAGACAAACTGGCCAAAAACAAAGAGTGTGGCTTGTTGAAGAAGTGGCGCCGTAGCATCAGAAATCACGTTTACTGGTGCGCCAACTCCTCGACATCAGGACCGGAGAAGGTGGCTAAGTGGACCTCACTGATCAACCACCTCCAGAATGTGCACACACACGACAATCCCATCTTTCCCAAGTGCGCACATCCACTCACAGCATCAAATGACCAAAAGAAATGGTTTCAACAAGGTAATTCTTATAAATGCGTGCATCTGTGTGTTCTATTTTTTTGAGTAATGTATTTTATATTATATATACAATAACATTGAATAATGGAAAAAATGTAAGTTACTGTTCTGTAAACTGTTTTGGACTATTACTGACGCTCTTCTAATAACGCAGGGTCACTGGCTGTCCACAAAATTGAACATATACTGTGCAACAAGAGGGTTCTCAAAGATGTGGAGAAGCTCAGTCACCATTTCCAGACATCTTCCCTGGAGGCATTCCACAGCCTCATTCTCCGTTTTACACCCAAAAATGTAGTGTTCTCTTTTATTGGGATGTTGTGCAGGTAATACAGCTATAAACTAAAGATTTTAAATCATTTTGTATTAGATCTTGCCTTTAACTTGTCTATTTTGTTCTGGCAGACTATTCCTTGCTGTGCTTCATCATAACGAAAATGCCAACAGGGAACGAGCCACAACATCAACAGGACGGGGGCTTTACAAAATTGTGCTCCCGAAATCCAAAAAAGAGGAATGCATTGCACAGCCAATAAAAACGGAACCAACATACAGTAAGTAATAAAACACTTTACAACCAACAAATATAGAAAATTTTATATATATATATATATATATATATAAACCATAGGCTGTAAAAAATATGGACAAAGCGTCTGTGACGTCACCCACAGACTCTCTGAAGAACGTGTTTGCGGCTGTTTATGGGGGGTATGGGTGGCGCCATACTGGAAAATCTTGGGAAATACAAAATACCAACATGACATCATGACTTTTGCGTAAACATATACGCCACTTTCGAGTCAGGTGGCGTGTTATCTCCACGCATTTTGTGCTATCCGCGTGTATCCGCGTGTATGCGTATATGTCTACGCCTCATTCCGCGTGTCTGAACACGCAGTCAAATCTCCAGTCATAAATGCCATTAACCCCAGTGACGGTTAAGTTTAGGGATGGGGTTGAGGTAAGTCATACCTTTTTTTTTACCTAGGATGGTAAGGGAACAGTCATAAATGCCATTAACCCCAGTGACGGTTAGGTTTAGGGATGGGGTTGAGGTAAGTCATATATTTATATAACGTTAAGTCAACGGCGTTCATAAACACGCTGAAAGGCGATTATGCGTCTTGATAGCACGCCAAAAATGGAAATACGAATTGGCGTCTCATACACGCGCTACTTCATGAGATCAGTCTGAAAATACAAATGTTCAGAAAGGTTACAGAGGTGGTATGATGTCAGATCATGGCCGAGACTTCAAATTCACTCGACGCAGCCCGTTATCAGCTGTCTATCAAAGTTAACCGCCCTTATTTGTCATACGTTTTATATCTAAACAGGGTTCGTACAAGGTGCTTAAAGTACTTGAATTTGACTTTTTGAAATTTAAGACCTGGAAAACCCTTGAAAACAGCCATATTTTTGAAGAGGTACTTGAAAAGTGCTTGAATTATTAAAAATAGGGATGCACCTTGAGTTCATCTACTGGTAAAAATGCTCCGATACCAACAACTGATAGGCCTACCAGGCAGCGTGTCTATATTAACACATAACTGTGGTGCGCGAGTTGATAAGAGAAAAACGCACGGTGGATTGAGCGCGCAGCGGCACAGATGCGCGAGCTGGTTGAGCCGCACATCCCTTTTAACGGACTTCAGTGGAAGGTTTGTAGTTCAGTCTGATGTCAATGGCAAAGAAAATAAAACGATCCATGTAATGTAGCTTATTATTAACGTTAACTGACGAGAGAGCGCAGTTTTGTTGAATGCTCTTCTTGATTGCTGATTGTTACTTGGCACGTGTTATTTGGATGAAAACTCAATCGTATATGTAAGTAAAACATGAACTGTTAACGTTACCTGATGTATAAAGAGTGACTCCCTACATTATTACTGGATGTTTGCAGGTCAAGTCAAGTCAAGTCACATTTATTTATATAGCGCTTTTCACAATACAGATTGCATCAAAGCAGCTTCACACTGATAACATGAAAGTAGCACAACACAGATCAACAACATTGCTAAACACTAAATAACCCCAACTGAGCAAGCCAAAAGCAAGGCGACAGTGGCAAGGAACCAAAACTCCATCAGATTGGATGGAGAAAAAACCTTGGGAGAACCCAGGCTCAGTCGGGGGCCAGTTCTCCTCTGGCTTACATTCATATTGTTTAAATATAAATATTAAATATAAATATTGTTTATGAATCAAACGGCGCCATAACATATCGCAGGCGTTGAGTCGTCTCTTCACAGGTGTTGAGTCGTCTCATCACAGGCGTTGGGGCATCCGAAATCCCCGTGAGAGGCTGGACACAAAACTGGACCTGACGAACACCATTTTTCTCGGAACAAGCGTCCCGAGATAACAGCAGAAAGGCAGATGGGAAATAATTAGCATAGCTGATGTTCATAATGATTTCCGTTATATGGGAGTCGGTGTTAGAAAACCACTATCTCACAAACTCTCCGTAACCTGAACTCTCCGCAACCGGTAATGCGTTTCAGTGGCAAACGGTTCCGTATGGCATAACAGAGGACTAAAAGGTAAGCATTATGTGAATGCTTGACTAAAGAGATGCGTCTTTAATCTAGTTTTAAACTGTGTCAGCGAGTCAGAGGCTCGGACCGTATCGGGAAGGCCATTCCAGAGTTTTGGAGCTAAATGCGAGAACGCCCTCCCTCCTTTAGTGGACTTAGATATCCTAGGAATGACCAGAAGCCTTGAATTTAGTGATCTTAAGGAACGCGGTGGATTGTAGGGCGAAAGAAGGTCCGTTAAGTACATAGGAGCTAAACCATTTAGGGCTTTATAGGTCAGTAGTAGTATTTTGTAGTTGATGCGGAACTTAATAGGTAACCAGTGTAGAGATGATAAAATCGGTGTTATATGATCATATTTTCTTGACCTAGTAAGAACTCTAGCAGCTGCATTTTGTACTAACTGTAGCTTGTTTATTGAGGATGCAGGACAACCAGCTAATAAAGCATTACAGTAATCTAGTCTCGAGGTCATGAATGCGTGAACTAATTTTTCAGCATCAGAAATAGATAGCATGTTACGCAGCTTAGCAATGTTTCTAAGGTGGAAAAAGGCTGTTCTTGTAACATATGAAATATGATTTTCGAACAAGTTGCGGTCTAGTATAACACCCAGGTCTTTTACTGTAGTGGATAAAGTAACAGGACATCCGTCTATATTACAGTTGTGTTGTGAAAGGTTTTGTGAGTAGTTTTTTGGACCAATAAGTAATACCTCCGTTTTATCTGAATTTAATAGCAGGAAATTACATCCAGCATTTTACATCTTTGAGACACTCTGTCATTTTAGATGAGTTAGTGTTTTCATCTGGTCGTGATGAAATATATAATTGAGTGTCGTCAGCGTAGCAGTGGAAATTAATTCCATGTTTTCTTATAATATTACCAAGTGGCAGCATATATATTGAGAATAGCAGAGGGCCTAAAACCGATCCTTGCGGTACTCCATAGTCTACTGACGTTATCTTTGATTTTTTTCCCATTTAAACAGACAAAATGAGAACGGTCCGATAAGTACGATCTAAACCAGCTTAATGCCTGGCCCTGTAGTTTTGTAGTCGATCCAAGAGTATTTTATGATCTATAGTGTCGAACGCAGCGCTAAGATCAAGTAGGACTAGTATTGAGATACAGCCTTGGTCAGAAGCTAAAAGTAAATCATTTGTAATTTTAACTAGCGCAGTTTCTGTACTATGATGCGGTCTGAATCCTGACTGGAATTTTTTATAGATATCATTTTCTCGCAAAAAAGAGCACAATTGAGCGGACACTACTTTTTCAAGTATTTTGGACATAAATGGAAGATTTGAAATGGGTCTGTAATTTGCCAAGTTATTTGGATCTAATTGCGGTTTCTTAATGAGTGGTTTTATTCCTGCCAGCTTGAATATTTTTGGGACATGACCTAAAGATAAAGACGAGTTAATAATATTGAGGAGAGGCTCTTCCACTACAGGTAATAGTTCTTTCAGTAGTTTAGTGGGTATTGGATCTAATAAACATGTTGTTGGTTTAGATGCAATGATAAGTTTATTTAGTTCATCCTGTCCTATCGTTGTAAAGCGGTTTAGTTGTTCTAGAGGGGCCATAATTGAAGCTGAATCATAAGACACCATAGCGGATTGTACATTTATAATTGTGTTTCGGATGCTTTCTAGTTTCTCATTGAAGTAATTCATAAAATCATTACTACTAAACTGTAACGGTATATTTTGCTCTGGTGATGTCTGTTTATTTGTTAGTCTAGCCACGGTGTTAAATAAAAACCTTGGAGGTCAAGAAGTTCAATGAATGCAATGCAAACATTAGCACGCGCCTCACAAACCAGCTTCTCAACGCGCGAATACTTCCTTCACGTCTTGCGCTTGTACGGACGAATTCACACAAAATGATGTAAAAATCGCCATCTTGGAGAGTATCCTAGTAAACAAAGTCAGTTATATCTCAAGTGAATGTATAGCCATGTTCAAATGGGGTCCGTGCGTTCAGTCTTAAAGGGACAGCAGTTTAATAAACCCACTGCTGTTTTAATGTTAATCAAACAATTGACAAAAATTACTCACTGCTCTTGACTAAATAGGCTTCCCTTTTCAACTTTACAAGTAATAGTAATAGAGTAATAGAGTAATAGAAATTAATAGTAACTGAAGCTCATACAATGCATTTTAGCAGGCTTAATAAATAAATAATAAATAAATATATATTTGTTGAACAAATTAAGCCAACTAATATGATTTATATTCTTTTGGTTTATCTACATTTAGAAATTACAGATGCAGTGAATATACTTATGGTTATGGTAGCGCTATCGGACCTGTTCTGCAAAAAGTGATATTGGTGCATCCTTAATTAAAAATATTTTGTTGTTGAATAAATACAATTGTTTCATGCTAAATCAACGCTGCAGCCCGTCTTAGATAAAGAGCTATTTCTAATGGTTATGAGCATGATATTAAGTACAAAGTATATAAAACAACTTTCATTCTTCAGGTCAATCACATATGGAAAAAAAAAAATCATTTTCAATGGTTGAGGGGATTTCCCATGCCTGACTGCACTGGTCAATGGATTGATCTCTATGAAGTGAAACATCAGAGACCATATATGTAATTCACGTTATAAAATAAAATAAATAAAAATAAGAATAAGAATAAAGATATTGTTTGATAAGTGCTAATTGAAGTCCTTGAAATCCAAAAAAAGTGCTTTGAAAGTCCTGGAATTTCATTTTACAGAGTCTGTACGAACCCTGTCTAAATATGATCTAAACTAACGAGTTAGAAAAAAATTCACCCCCCTCACAGTTGTCAGGCACGCGGAACATATTGAAGATTACAATAAAAGTCCATGGGACCAAACTGTAAAAACATGAATATATGCTGTGAAAACAGACATTTTAACCTGGGGTCTATGGATATTTGCTCCCTTTTGGGACCGGCCTCTAGTGGATTTTCGATGTATTGCAGTTTTTCACACTTCCGGGTAGGCTTCATCTTTCAGATTTGAATGTTGCCCCTTGATATAAACATTTCACTTTTTTTCTCGTACAGATTTTGTTGATGACTTACTGAAGCTTCTCTTTGATGAAGTTGTCATGGACCCCTCTCCATTTGTTGATGCACTGAAGACAATCCCCGTTCCACCGCCAGTGGAATGATAGACCGTCAAAGGATGAAGCGATTGCCCGTCATGTTTCCAGATTCGGTTTAATAGGGGGTCGAAAGCTAGTGTACTGTCCAGCCAGATCTAGAAATGCCTGACGGATGTGTTACAACACAGCACGGAATGACATCACGGATACTGCGCCCTAAGTAGCCCCAGCACCAGCTGACAAAGCTGCGGTATTAGGCGGTACTGCCTAAAAACGACAGACAAAACTCTTGTCTATGTGACCAAATAAAGTGTGTACAATTTGATAAGTGATATATATATATATATATATTTTTATAATAAATTGGTGTGACAAACGTGTTCAAAGTATGCAATATACAAATTTGGTTGTGATATTAATTACATTGTTTGTAGGGTTATCAAATTACACGTACTCCTCTATGGTCCTGCGCCTTATACGACCATAGTCACATCTATAGATGTTGTAAATGATCTGCAGTGTATATGAATTTAGACCGTTAGGTTCAAAGCCTGGATGGTGCACTATACATGTTGGTGGGACTGGAAGCTGGTCCATTCTTTTTGTAACCTAAGGTGAAAAAAAAAGTCATCACAGAACAATTGTATTTATGCATTTCACACTTCTCGTTAAGATTGTGATTTTAATTTGTAGCGTTACTTTACATGTAATAAGTCTCAAAGTTCATATAATGGTTAAACAATACACTACCTGTCGTACTTCCTTGCAGCAAAGATTTTCAACCTCGCTTGGCATTTTACAGTTCCCACATGTGCACCTACATAAATTCGACAATTAATTTGTATGTTAACCAGAACGAACAAATGGCGAAAGACAGCAAGACTAATCAGATTACAGCACGTCAATTATCGGATCGTTTTCGATTCTGCATGTTCCATCTGCCTGAAGTGCCATAAACTACATTGACACTCTCCATTGAGAAGGGTCCTGCTTCAGTCTTGTTTGTAATTGACTTTCTGGTTCATCAGAATTTTCGGACGTTTCCTCTTCTGACTCTGGCTCGAATTGGTAAGGCAAAATTGATGACATGTCTGTTCATACACTGAATGAATCATACACTAAATAAATCATTTAGGAGTCGTTGAGCAAATCAGGTAAAAATAAAATGCATATTATAAGACAAATGAAGTGTTTTTTTGTCCTTTCATGCACGTTAAACTGTTTTTGGGAACTCCCGAAACAAAAACAGGTATTTTTCAAATGCTATGAAGGGAGCAATTTTGAGCGTGGCATGGTTGTTGGTGCCAGACGGGCCGGTCTGAGTATTTCACAATCTGCTCAGTTACTGGGATTTTCACACGCAACCATTTCTAGGGTTTACAAAGAATGGTGTGAAAAGGGAAAAACATCCAGTATGAGGCAGTCCTGTGGGCGAAAATGCCTTGTTGATGCTAGAGGTCAGAGGAGAATCAGAGGAGAATCTCGTTACAACCGAGGTATGCAGCAAAGCATTTGTGAAGAAGACACAACACACACAACCTTGAGGCGGATGGGCTACAACAGCAGAAGACCCCACCGGGTACCACTCATCTCGACTACAAATAGGAAAAAGAGGCGACAATTTGCAAGAGTTCACCAAAATTGGACAGTTGAAGACTGGGGAAATGTTGCCTGGTCTGATGAGTCTCGATTTCTGTTGAGACATTCAGATGGTAAAGTCAGAATTTGGCGTAAACAGAATGGGAACATGGATCCATCATGCCTTGATACCACTGTGCAGGCTGGTGGTGGTGGTGTAATGGTGTGGGGGATGTTTTCTTGGCACACTTTAGGCCCCTTAGTGCCAATTGGACATCGTTTAAATGCCACGGCTTACCTGAGCATTTCTGACCATGTCCATCCCTTTATGGCCACCATGTACTCATCCTCTGATGGCTACTTCCAGCAGGATAATGCACCATGTCACAAAGCTTGAATCATTTCAAATTGGTTTCTTGAATATGATAATGAGCTCACTGTTCTAAAATGGCCCCACAGTCACCAGATCTAAACCCAATAGAGCATCTTTGGGATGTGGTGGAACAGGAGCTTCGTGCCCTGGATGTGCATCCCACAAATCTCCATCAACTGCAAGATGCTATCCTATCAATATGGGCCAACATTTCTAAATAACTTGTTGAATCAATGCCACGTAGAATTAAGGCAGTTCTGAAAGCGAAAGGGCTAAACACAGTATTAGTATGGTGTTCCTAATAATCTTTTAGGGGAGTGTATAACACAAAACAAATGTAATGAAAAGTAGTGTATTAAACAGTGGAAAAATCGTTTTTTCTAAAGTGACAGCAGCAATTAAAGTTACAGTGCTCTATTGCCTCCCCTGATTCTGATAGACCACGGCTGCCTCTGAAATAACTAGTAATTACTTAACGCCTGCTAAAAAAGTATGTTCTATATTGTATGAATCTGATCTGTGCAGTATTTTTTATTCTTGACATACTACAGTTGTCATGTTATCATCATTACGTGACCTTCACAGAGTCAGCTGTGTCACAGTCGCTTCAGTGCCATTCACAAATCCTCATTGGATAGTAAAGTGTCCATCGTATGCCTAAAGTAGTAGGTCATCCAGGTACTTCTGCCAACACATTCATGAATAGTGTAAATTCAGACATACTTCTTCTGTTAAATACTGTTTTTCACCTAGGCCAGCTATATTGAAGGCATGTATCCTGTCAGCCGGAACTGGGCCATGTGTGGCAATGATGGGTCTTTCCCCATATCAGGATTGTGACATTGGGCCAATTAAGTGCACTTTAATGTAGTTAACTTGACTGATTTACAATTTACTTCATTTGAAATTATGTTTCATCTGTTATGACGACTTTTCAAAGATACATTTTAAACGGTACTACATTTAAAATAACAAATTCATTCAATTTCAGTGATCATTTAACCATTGTGCAATATTTCATTCATTTTGTTTCTTATGGGGCATAATCTTAATTATATGCTGTCATATACACTTTATTTTGTGATTGCAGTCTGTGCTGCAATTCAAATATCCGGGGTATGATGCTTTGTGTGACAAACTGTTGTAGAGTGAGATTTAAAAAGTTGTATGTGAATATTTAAATAATACATTTTTAAAGTAAAATTAAAATTAAAGTAAAATATATCCTGGTTTAAATAAAGTGCTAAAAACTTTAACAGAAAATAACTTTAAATATTACTTTACATTTTTTATAGAAAAAAAATATTTTACAGGATTGTTCATTACAATCCAGTTTGACTTTATTCTCTCATACTAAAGTTCTTTTGGAGATTTAGATGCTGATGTCTTGTTGGAAAAAAATAAAAGAATTTGCCGTTCCCATTATGGGGATCAGTGTTTGTTTTAGTTGGGCTCCCGACCCTTAACTTTTTAATATATATATTTTTTTTTTCTTTTGCTGCTATAACAATGTTTCTCTGATAAATGTAAATGCAGGACAAAATTTCATCAGATGATGTTGGCCTATTGTTTGTGATATTATGGTCATCATTTAGTGGTCTGTTTTACTGATAACACTTGAGGTGCGTTCCATTCGACAGGGTCCCTACGCAGTGTTCACTGCTCCCTACTCCCTGAACACGGTATATCAGTTGAAGTGGACTTCACTGACTTCCTGTGAAGTGATGTATCGATGTTCCCTTATTCCCTATGTCGTTTGCAGTGCTTTTCGAACTGAACATTTTCGTTCCCTTCGAATTGGAATCTCACTTAAGATGGCGAAATACCCTGTGAAGTCCACTTCGCAGTCCTCTTACGGTCGAATGGAACGCACCTATAAAGTATCCACAAGTTTCCTACGCCCCATGAGGCCTTGCATCAAAAGTGGGCGCGACTTCCGGTTGGAAGTAAACAAAGCGCGACTTGACATGCTTGACACTCGTTCATTCAACAGTTGACAGTCATTCAAGTTATAGCGATCCAAACTAGATAACGATGTGGGAACACAACCTCAACGAAATTAAAAAGGGTGAAATAACAGTACCTTTACCCTCCGCAGTAGTTGATTGGGAGTATTATAATAACATTATTAATAATCAATACTCATCAAGGCATGGTGACAGACAGTTGTGCGAGCTGACAAACAATTAAAATAAAAAACACACACTTAGTCATTGTGCTTTGGAGTTTATTCAAAATTATAAATGAATGTGCTACTTGAATACATTAACTGGCCAGCAGCCATATCACCCTGTAGCCCAAGACTGGTTGCCCACTGAAGCTAAGCAGGGCTGAGCCTGGTTAGTACCTGGATGGGAGACCTTCTGAGAAAGCCAGGTTGCTGCTGGAAGAGGTGTTAGTGAGGCCAGCAGGGGGTGCTCACCCTGTGGTCTGTGTGGGTCCTAACGCCCCAGTATAGTAATGGGGATACTATACTGTCAAAAGAGCACCGTCCTTCGGATGAGACGTTAAACCGAGGTCCTGACTCTCTGTGGTCATTAAAAATCCCAGGATGTCTTTCGAAAGAGTAGGGGTGTAACCCCGCATCCTGGCCAAATTTGCCCAGTGGCCTCTGTCCATCATGGCCTCCTAATCATCCCCATACCAATTGGCTTCATCACTGTCTCCTCTCCACCAGTAAGCTGGTGTGTGGTGAGCGTTCTGGCGCACTATGGCAGCCGTCGCATCATCCAGGTGGATGCTGCACACTGGTGGTGGTTGAGGAGATTCCCCCCTCTATGTGAAGCGCTTTGAGTGTCCAGAAAGGCGCTATATAAATGTGATGAATTATTAGTGGTGCTTGCTGAAAGCAAGGCAACACTATTACTATTGTGTTTTTTGAGTCGGCCCAAAAGTTTGACGCGCTACTCCTCCCGCAGTTTTTGTCACACACCCATGAATGAGGTCTCAAAACGTGCGGATTATTCGGGAATGGTGTGCTATGACTTTTCTAAGCGATCGGGGGTACGATGTTCGCCCGAAGGCCGAACAAATTTCCCAAAAATCCCATAGACTTAACATTGCGACAAACTTTGACGAATCATAGCTCCGAGCGAGGATTTCACAGAAGCCTGCGATTTACCACATTTGAAGAGGCTGACCGGCTCTGTAAGAACTTACCTCACAATGGGGTAAAAGTTGCACCCCTGGGGGGCAGGAGCTCCCCAAATTTTCCCCCATTGACCCCAATGTTATTTATTATTTTTTTTTTTTTTTTTTTTCTTCCACACAAATTTCGGCGCGCTACTCCTCCCGCAGTTTTTGTCACAGACCCTTGAATGAGGTGTCAAAACGTGCGGCTTGTTCGGGAATGGTGTGCTATGACTTTTCTAAGCGATCGGGGGTACGATGGTCGCCCCAGGGGCGAAAAACGGCCCAAAAAAATCCCATAGACTTAACATTACGACAAATTTTGGCGAGTCATAGCTCTGAGCTCGGATTTCGCAGAAACTTGCGATTTACCACATTTGAAGAGGCTGACAGGCTCTTTAAGAAAATACCTCACAATGGGGTAAAAGTTGCACCCCTTGGGGGCAGGAGCTCCCCAAATTTTTCCCATTGAAAATTTTCTAGTATAGCATTTTACTATTCCAGGAAAAAGTTTGGAGCACTCCTACGTCCACAGTTTTTGTCACAGACACTTAAATGAGGCATCAAATCGTGCGGCCTATTGAAGAGAAGTGTCCTATCACTTTTATCAGAGATCGGGGGTACGGTGTTCGACCCAGGGGCGAACAAATTTCCAAAAAATCCCATAGACTTAACATTGAGACAAACTTTGACGACTCGTAGCTCCAAACAAGGATTTCGGACAAATGTGAGATTTGCCACATTTGAAGAGGCTGGCAGGCTCTTTAAGAACATACCTCACAATGGGGTAAAAGTTGCACCCCTGGGGGGCAGGAGCTGCCCAAAGTTTCCCCATTGACTTACTATGGTGAAGGACGTCCCATCAAATGCATGTGTTTTTCCTACTATGGTAAATTGCATAGGGATTTTGTATTGAACATAGCTCTGGATCACAGTGTCATAGAGACAAGCGGGCGGGCTCATTTTACTCAGATGACCAATCAGTCTCTCAGGATCATTGTGAAGCTATTAAGCCACGCCCTAGCAACCATATAGAGCACCTTAGCAACAAGTACCATAGACTTCAATTGAAAGAGATCAAAGGGATATCTCCGG